TAGACTCTGATTGCCAAAATGCCATTTTATACACAAAGCTGCTAATACAATATACAGTTCTTACATTATTTTTTCACATAAAATACATTTCATCAAGTTTTATTTGTACATCGTTTACTACTGATCGATGCAATTACGAGTTATTGCAGAAGGCTTGCCATCATTTGTTAATGTCCTGTACATGCAGCAGTCGCACCGAGCTGTACCAGGGTTACCGACACTCCTGTAGTCCATTCTCACACTGCAATCTATAGGCTGAAGACGTAGAGGTGGCAACACTAAGGCTGCATCTGCACTGTTTAAAAACCCGTATGTCCCCTCCAGCTGTGGGTGGAGATAATTGCATTGGTGTAGGTTTGGGAACAGCTATCTTGAGCACAGTCTCCTCTACTACAGCTTTCGCAGTTGAAATATAACAAAATATTCTAGGTCATAATTGTGCCATGGCAGGTGTTGCCTGAAGAACCCAGCAGTACTTAAATTGTGTGGGGGAACTGAAAAGTCCACTACCAGTTTGGCCAACATGAAAACAGCAGAATAAAGCTGAAGAACAACCAGGGATGACAAAGCCTGTTGTACAGCCACAGGCAAAACAAAACAAAAAATGTAAATACTAGCTGTGTTCTGTAGTAAGAGGCTATACCTTGCAGCTATAAGTGTGTTCTGGATGCCGTGCGTAGAGAGCGGCTATTACAAAGTAGGTCAATGTGATTTGTTAAATTAGAATGAAGACCCTGCGCATTTCCTTTCTCTGTGTATTTAGGAAGAAAGAACCAGTGATCATGAGAGAAATTAGAAGGGCAACTAAAAACTCCAAGATCTGGTATGCTCTGAAGTGTTATCCCCTTGCAAAATAGTCTCCAAGTTAAAGAACAGCACTGTATAGTCACCACAAACCTTCCAGAGACTATTTACCCAGTTACCTTTAAGCAAGTACGATAAGGCACAGAAATATCCAGACGTAGAGAGAACACCTTCCAGCAGATGGACAACAGTTCATCTATGGCTCACTGGAGACCAGTGCTATTGCTTTCTCGGTTAAGATATTCTAATTTCATGGTACTGCTGATTTAGTTTCAGCAAAGAAGATCTGAGTAAAGAGAGCTCCAAGATTAAAGCAAAAGGACACTAAGCAGGAGTTGTAATGCCATTTGGGAGCTTGTAAGTGCTTTCAACCCCATGAAATAAGATCCTGCTCAATAAACTACAGAATTCACTGCCTCCAGTGAGTATTGCACCGATTCGTTATTGCTGATGCCCTGCCATGCTCTTCTCCTTCCCTACCAGGAGTTCCTCACCACATGGTTCCTCAACCACGCCTGCAAGATGGTACAGAATCACATCAGCTAGAGTCAGATCTTCCTAAAATTGGGAGGGTTTTAAGATTCTGGAGCACCACAGAAGTGAGACTTAAGTGGGTTAAAATCACATCACTTGGCAAGTGAAATACAGATCCAGGTCTGACATCAGACAGATCCCAGCAACGGTACTTAAGCCCTTATCTAACATTTCAGTGCTGGGACTTTCTTGGGTGAGCTCAGTAGAGCAGAGACACTATTTTGAAAGACACCTTTTTTTTCCATCTAAAAAAAGTCTTTCAACATGGAAAGTAAAGCTGCTCCCCTCAACCCATTAGTTTGCTAGAAACAGTATGACTTTAGCATACAGGAAGATTTCGCAAGCAGCAGCTCTGCCTACAATAGACCCGTCAATACATCCATTTCTCAAATCTTTGCGTAGTCTGTGTGAACAACTGTTGGCTTACTGCTAACAAAAGTGGGACTCTAATCTGACCTTGAATCTGTACTTAGATATTTATTGAGCCTAAAAACACTGAGTATAGCATAAAAAAACCCCAAATGTTCCTCTAGTAAGCCAAGTGCTAGATATGCCAGTCACAACATGATTTCTAGTTTCCACAGCTTTTTAGCAACATTAAGATCCAATGAAATAGCCAAGTGTCTTCTGCTATGTACCTCAGAGCTCTCCAATTTAAAACACATAGATATAAAAAACCCCATTGTTGTGACACAGCTAAACTTTCTAATAAAGCACCCTATTCCTAGAGGTAGGCTCCTACAATGCACATATAAGAGTATCTATGTGTTTGTTATTCCCCCAAAAGCCTGTTTGTCTCTACAAAATAATTCACCAGAAGCAGGTTAAATATCCACTTTACAGAATTGCTCATCCCAGACCTACAACCAACAACTCCGCATGCAGCGTGAACTGCCAGCTCCTTCCCAGTGCCCCCCAGGCAGTGATCATTGTATCCCAAATGTCCCCAACACATAAGCATGAATCCATTCGAGGTCACTCTTCAACAGCCGTTGCAAGTCCCAATCTGATGCAGCTTCAACCCAAAGCCAGTGGTAGATAAATACTTGGCATGGCTGTGAAACCTATCCTGGAAGATTTATCGATTACTGACTGTCTTGTATAAATAAGAATTGATTACATTTGATCAGATGCCACTAGACATCAGTGAGCATGTTAGCTTACAGTGATAAAGCCAGAAAAGCTGTATTACAGCCAATTTTCCAATTACAATACAAAGTCCAATTAGGGGGATGTTTTGTAATTTAGAACCTGTAATATCTTTTGCCTGATAGTAAATCAATTGTTGGTTTGCTCAAGATGACACCTAGAGTGACGAGTTCCTGGCGTTTTACATATAAACAGAATGAAATACCGATGGACTAGAAGCTGTTTGTCTAAAATGGACTGGCTTCCTGCAGTTTTAATGCATTCACAACCCTCACTGAAAGCAACCTTCAAACTGCTTAACACTATTGCATTCAACAGTCTCCTTTTCAATTGCTTGGAGTTAGGTAAGATTCAACACGCTTGATAGCACAAAATTGCTCTGAGAAGGAAAAGGGTCTGACTCCTTCTTCCCTGGGAGGGAAGGCATCAAGCTGGACCCAAATTTTGGATCACTTACAACCTAGTGGATAGCAGCACCAAAATTTGTTACGCTGAGTCCAGAATTCTCATTAGGGTGGATGTGGAGAGACAACCCTCACCTCCATGGGAGAAGAGAGGCATCTGAAAGATCATCTCCCCCTCTTCAGTAATACCCAGGCTACACTTGGTGTTATCCCAGAAGAATTTTCTCGAGGTAATCAGAAGACCCACTGTTAACCACACACAGAGGCAGTAAAGTCTGTCCAGTTACCAAATCATCTTCTTTCTACCGGAGAATGACTTTTAAAATCCCTTAAGGTTAAGTCAAGCGCAAGAAATATTTTCTAGTCTTACATTTAGCATATACATTTTGATAATGGAGGAATCCCAACTTCTCTGAATGTTTCAAAACATACAAAGAAACCCCCTGCCTTTAACTGAACTGAAGTTTTAAAAAAATCAGATCGACTGCTACCATTTTCTAATTTGTTCTTAAAACTGGTGAGGGAAGAGAATTGCATCTTCAGAGTTCAAGAGAGTAAATTGTCAGCCTGGTAATAACCTCACAGCTCCAAAAGTGTTTCCTGGCCGGTGTGGTTGTGGTGGTGACACAGAGCCACCTCTGCTGCCTCGAGGAGCCCAGAGCCCTGTATCATAATATATCCAGCCCCAGTGATGGGCTAGATTTGATGGGGAGCAGAGGGTAGCACTTAACAGTCGCTGGCGGCCTAAGTCAACTTTTTATAGCCTAGAAAAAAAGGAAAGGCTGTGAGGATTCCCACAGGGGAAGCGTACATGTGAAGTGTAATGTTGGCGTCTAACAGCCACCAGCTAAAAGGAAGATGGGTGGAAGCTGCGTTTGCTGTTGCTTGGCTGAAGCACAACTATGTGAGCTGGATTTAATCCACCAATGGCTTACAGGGATCCAAACAGGCTTATGTTTTCAGAGTTTGGAATTTAAACTGCCCAAGAAGACATATATTAATGCAGGCAAATAGTTATGCATGCAATAGCCCCTCTGTGCAGAAAAAGGGCTGAAGATTTACAGTTACTGCTGTAGATACACCTTGTAACCCAACTGTGGCCAGCTCCTCAGAGCTGTCTCCCACAGGGCACTCTCCTTTCACCTCCCCCAGGTATGCAAAGCCTTAATGTGCTGAAAAGCCAGTGCCAAACCCCCAGGTTATGTCATGCTAGTGTTTCTCAGGTAGTCTGCCAAAGCTAACATGAACTACTTTAAAACACTGGTGTTGGTGTGCCAACCCCTCTACAACAGAAAGGCTTTGCTAAGTCCTGCATTGCGCTAGGCGATTCCTTTGTACATAGAGGCACTGAAGTCTTCTTCTGACAGCTACTAACCACTGCTGGTGACCACAGCATGGAACACAGACCCAAAAAATTTCCTGCCCTGCTGCAATGTTCAACTACAAAAGCAATGATTTAACAGTTATTTATCAGCCAAAGACTGCAGGTTAACACAAGTATCATAACATCTAGGGAGATTAGAAACACTTTCTTGGCATTTCTAGGTTAGTGTTGGCAAGCCTTTCCTCCTCATCCCCCCCGAGCCCTGTGGTTCTGGAAATCCAGAAAAAATCAACGCAAAGCATACTGCCCCTAGTATCTGTGTTGAGCATACAGAGTAAACAAACAGAATCAATAGGAAAGTGAGATCAGCAAGTGTCTTTTCAGTTTTAACAAATCAAGAGTCTAAATAGTACAAATAAGTTTTTTAAATTACTTATTCCAATATAGACCTTTGTCAGTATTTTATTGCAGTAAAATTCTATTGCCAGAGCCCCTTATTGCAACATCAGTTTTAAAGCCTGTTGAGTGAAGCCTGTTCCAGGAAAAGTTCTGCTTCAAACCTGATGGCAGTCTGCAGTGACGAGTTTACAGGAGCAGAACAGGACCCAGCCAGTGCACAGTTTTTGATGATGAGCTGTCACTGCAAGGGGATAAAACCTTGCAGACTTCCTAAGGCAAGTGCAGCATCTATGCTTGCTTGTTGCTCAGGCCCTGTAAGTGCTGGATCCAGCTGTATGGAAAACAGCTCTGTCCACTCTTGCAAACCCCACGTGGGGGTGGATCTCCCCTCCAGAATACACGCATCACCCAAGAGTGAAAATTCAGGTCTGAACTGTCACCTTCCAGAAGCTTGGTGACTTACAGCAAGAGGCTCAGATGCAAAGATTTTAATTCAGATCCTTTCTTTGTTCCAAGGCATCTCATGACTTCCCAAGGATGGGGAGGCAATGCACCATACTTTTTTCCCTAGAGAGCAAGACTAGGGAGACTCTTTTTACATCATATTAATGCGCATCCCTTCCTCTCCTAAGAGCGTTGCTCCACCAGCATTACTCATTCAGCTGCAATGGAAGTAATTGGCAGGGTAAAGTACAATTCAAGATGAACGAGGCCGCCACAGTCAGGCTGTCCATAACCAAATTCTCCCTTTGGAATGCAAACAACCTGGCCACTGCGATAGATCCAGCCAGCCCACCCACGTCTTGTTTCCTCTGGGGTGAGAAACAGATGACACTAGGAAATTCTGCAGCACCCATGCACCTTCTCTTCCATTTCCTCCATGGGAGCTTTGAATTTCAAGAGGGGTGGATCACCACTGGACACTGTGTAATACACTGAGGTCCCATTGGAGCTGTAGGGAGAAGTCCTGGATGCGATTAGGTGCGACTTGGCCTCACCCCCATTCTCAGCAACTCCTCCCATGCCACTGCCAAAGTGGGTGCTGAGGAAAGGGTGATTGAGGAGTTTGGCTGCAGCCCGCTGCCGCTTAAGTTCGGAGAGGGTTTGGTGGTTATGCTCCTTGTAGGCACCCCAAAATTGCTGGGTGTCAGGGAGCCCGGGGTTGCCATAGGGCAGCATGTGGCCTGGATTACTGTCAGGGTCGGCGTGCATACTCCAAATGTCCCCATTGGAAAAGGTGTACTGGTAAGTGCTGGCAGATGCCATGAGTCCATTCTGGAGGGGGATTTCAGAGTCACACTGGGTGCTTTTGTTTGCTAGCTCCGGAAGGAGGGAAGAGTTCTCCAGCACTGAATTCTGTAACAAGAAGACATGAAAGAAGAGAACCCTGTCCCCCATAGCACGGTTCATCCCTGTGACAACTTCCTAAGCCTGCTCACACTCAGCCTTTCCACCAGACAGGTACTGCAGCACAAACTTTGAATTCACCCACTAACAGGACCCGACAATGCTGTGAGCCCTAACCAGGAGCTGGTTCCCAACCAGGAATATAATATGGAATGTTAACTCAGAAGGACTCACTTAAAAAAATAAAATAGATAAGCATATGAATATAACATGACAATAACTGAATTAAACCCAAATAACTGCAAAGCAAGATTACAATTCTTTTGTGATTACCAGTTTGTTAGCTGTAAAGAGAAATGCACACGCTATTTTTTCTGAACTTCCTGGTTGACCAGGGCCTTATCTCAAAACTATTTATGCAGCTGTAAATCCAAACCAGCCTTTCCACTTGAGTGGGTTATCCCAGTTTATGCCAAATGAGAATTTGGTCTTTTGCTTACATCTGATGGATGAGGTTTACAAATTTTTCAGCCACTTTCCATCCCACGGCACCCATTGCTATTGAATCTGTGCTACCAGCCCTCCTCAATGACTCCCATAATAGAGAAGAGATTCCTTACGGGGTCTGTATTCTCCTGGTCAGACCGAGTCTCCCCAATTTCTCCAATGAGACCCGAGTTCCTTCCTTCTTCTGCTGCCCCCAGTTGCTGCCAGATGATGGCCTCTTTCTCGCACTCCTTCCTGTAAAGGTTTGTTCGGTCCGAAAGGCTGGCCCTCCTCACCACCTTCCTGTGGGACAGGGAGAAGGGACATCGAAGCTGTGAGCAGGACATGACATTTCCTCTTACCCTGTAGCTCTTCTCACCTCCTCCTCACGCTTCGTAGCCTCTCCCGCTGGAATGGAATGTGAATTTAGCTTCCTGGCACCCACGCGAAGCAAAAGCACTAGTATGGATATTAAAGGTGGGAGGAATTTTAAGGAGTTTTAAAGTAGTACTGCAAATCTGTGTTAGATCTCATACAGCTCACCGAATGGATCTACTCTGCAACCAGTGAAGTAAATGTAGAGGGAAATGGCCCATGGGCTGCTTAGGGAGTTTTGTGGTCTGCAGGACTGCTTTGGTGTCCGGTAAACATCTTATAAAAACCTATGCAAACCGTGTCTGAGCACAGGATCTTGGCCATGAGACATATTATTGAGAAGCTCAAGTTAATCCACCTGAAGGACTAATTCTCCAACACCAGTATCAGTGGTTTAGCAGGGTAAACTCTCACCACTTGGTCCTCTGCTCAGAGCAGTCCTTAAACCACCACTTCTTTCTAGTGAAAGAACCACATTTCAAAGGAGCTCTGCTTTCAGCAACCGTAAGTCAGCTTCTGCCTTCCAGAGTTTGTTCAGAAAGGACAGAGGGGTTGTTCTCCGCACGCTGACCGCAGGGTGCTCTGCAACCACATCTGGGTGGCCAAGTTAACGCACTGGGTGACCTGCAACGAACAATGCGCTTACCCACGGCTGCCAGTGCTGGAGGTCCTTCGACTCAGGGAGGATTTGTGCCTCATCTGAGACTTCATGATCACATCGTGTTTGTGTTTCAGCTCCAGAAGTAGTACTTTGAATTCCTCCTCTTCACACAGATCTATGGCACACACAAACCAAGCCATTAATTAGACAGTTCAAGTGTGGTACCATTAACATCATGTTACTAACTGTGCCTTCCTAGTGTATACAACTACAAATGCTAGGAGGAAGAGAAGGGAAATTTAAGCAGAATATGCTTAGGCACATTAATCCGTAAACAAATTAGGGGAGGCAGAATGGTTTGGACACCCAAACAGGAGCTGCTGATTGTGACGGGGGCTCAGCTTTGCAATGATCCAGCTATTCAGCCAGGTTTTGTCCCATCTCTGCAGCATGCTGTCCCTTTACCCATGAAAGGGTGAGAGATATATTAACCACTGTATCAATGCTTCAAGATGGGAGGGAAAGAAATTTCTGTAATTACCAGACTGCAGCTCCCCTGAATACAGCATTTTTACTTAAGCGTTCAGAACAAAAAAAAAGTGTAGACAAACCCAGACCAGATCAGGACAGAAGACAAGAACTTTGAACTTTCAAAATGAGGACACGCAGATTTTTCAATTAAGGCTCAGAAAACCTTTTGTCAAAATAAAATAATATAATATTGGTCAGATGCTAGCATTTTTACTTCCAATTTGTTCCAAGACTCATGTGTGCTTTCTCTTTCCTCTCCAACCCCTTATAGCTTACCACACTTCGTTGCATCAAAGCAAAGTTAGACACCCAAGTCTTAGGGCTGCACTCAACAGCTGCTCAGGTCCAAGACTACAATGTAAGAGCAGGGAGGCTCCCAAGCACAGGTACAGAGGGATAACATGAGTGGAAACACACAGGAGAAAGACTTGGTGCTTGAGAAATTCCTTCTCCCTTGTTTTTATGAGCATGAAGAAGCATTTTCAGAAGTAACAAAGTAGGCACTTTAAAACTTCAGTCCCAGTTAAAGTAACTGCAACTTTGATTCTAAAGACACCTGAAAAATTACATTAATGCTGCTGAAAGCACTATGTGATGACTCCAGCACGCTTAGGGGGAAAATCCTTTCTTAACAATTTCTTTTTTTCAAGCTTAGTAAACTCACCTATTGGCATTTCATCCAAAGATGTCCTGGCACTCAAACTAGCCCCATGGGACACAAGCAACTCAGCCATCTGCATCTAAAGAAAGGGAAAGAAAGCCAAGTTGATAGAGCTATTTTAGGCAATTGCTTTCCTCCTCAAAGATGAAAAGTTGGAATAAGATAAGAAGCAATGGCATGCATGCTCAACTCGCCTCAAATTATGCTGGTACATGTGTCATGTAAAATATTGGTCCTACCATTCGATTGCACAGACATACTCTCCCCAAACTTTCTCAGCAACAGGTTCTTTTTGGAGCCCCAAGGACCTTATCTGATGCTTTCCAGAGAGTCCAGCCCTAGTACAGATTTTTTTCCATTTGCACAGATTTTTCACAACTTCTCTAGGCAGAAGGAAATGTCACCCTCATACCTGACATTTGCAACAAAATCATTACCTGTCCCCAGAAAGCAGCAGCATGAAGAGGTTCCCAGCCATCCCAGTCCTTGACATCCAGGCTCGCCCCCTGGTCAAGAAGGACTTCAGCTGCATGCAGATAACCATTGGCTGCAGCTATATGCAGCTAGGAGATAAGGAACAGAGCATGAACCACCTGCAAGGACCACGAATGGTTTTTATAGACTAAGTTTCAGTAGAATTTCTTGGATAACATCTCAGTCTAGATCTGGACAGGCAGCACATTTCACATTTGGCAGATGCCATCAGGTCAAAAGCAGGTTGTTCCTGTTACTGAAACAGTATTACCTGCATGTAGTTCTGTTTGAAGAGGAAACTGCTTAACAGTTCTTAAAATAACTTACATATATGGGTTAGAAATATTGTTTTTCTACATTTTAAGTTTTCACATTTTAAATCAAGGGCTTTTCAGTG